GTCTCAGAGCCTTTATTGGAAAAATAGTAGCTTCTCTCTTGTTGTAAGCTATCAATTATTTGCTATGCCCTGGGATTCTTGGGAATATCGTGGGTGAGTTTGTGTCTGCCACAAAACATATGATTTAATAGTGGCGACGGTCGTCGGGCTCACTGTTTTGGCCACTCGTAAATATTAATGAAATTATGTATTCGTTTATTAATCGCCAGGAGGATTCACTTGCACCGCCAACGTTCACCCCCAGTACACCATAGTGCACCTTGTAGACTTATGTACATGCATATGTATGTGTGTATGTACGTATGTACATACATATGTATGTCCATGTTTGTTGTATATCAGGTACATGTTTTCCGTTTCGAAAAGGAAACTGCTAACTTAAGTAACTTGAGCTCTGTTACAATTATTAAATATGTACATACATATGTATGTAATATGTTTATACCATTCGTACATAGATACATACATAGATTTGTACACACATATGGACAAGGGTAGATGTCATTTCATTTTTGCAAAACCAAAAAATCGATTTTCCATAATTCAATGTAAGAAATTTCAGATGCTAAAACTGCCAAGAATTTTTTATCCAATTTTTCACGGAAAGAGAAAAAAATTTTGGGGGTGCCGTTCCGAGTTGAGTTGGCTGGGCCGTGCACACAGCACACCGAGTACCCTTCGAACATGGGCCTGTGTCATGGCTATTATTTAGTTATTTGAGCCGTCGAGTAGGGCATTTGCAGTTCCTCGTAGCACAATGCACAAAACACACAAAACCTAAATGAAAAAAACTACCCCGACAAAAATTATAATGAAGTCGGTGGTGGCACAGAAGGAAGGCAGAATGTGCGTTCGAAAACGAACAACTGTGAAGCAGGGAAAGAGCCAAAGTTGGCGGAATGAGCAATTTTTGCCACCTTCCGTAGCTTGTGCAGTCGAAACACCACCATCACCACCCTACATCAAAATTAAAAAAAAAAAGAGAAAACAAAAAACGTAGGTTTATGTATATGTATATGTACATTGTACAAATAAAAAACGGAGATCATCCACGGTGATGAAAAGAATCAGCCCCAGGTTTCAAAGACCAAACACATTCATACATATGTACATTTGTATATGTATACAAATGTGTGTGGGTGTGTTTTTTTGCGGAGAGTTTTTTGTTGGTAGTTTTTTTTTTACTTTTCCCTACACATTAATTTTGATAGCAAGTCTACATTCGGAAAACAGAAAGTTAAGAGCAATGCTCTTTTATTGATGTGGGGTTGATGGTCACCCTTCTAGGGATTTACATACCCTTCTTCGGTCCACACACATGAAAATATCCAAACATTGGAACTTACTGTAGCTTTTTAGTTTCTTTCTGCATAGGAAACTGCGTACTGCCTGTACGGATGTATTGTGGGGGTTTCGAGAAAAAACGAGTACGGGCGTTTGTGAGATGCTTGTACGGGTCCGAGCTTTTATACCCGGTACTCAGTCAGTATATACATATGCATTCATATGTACATTGTATGTACAAACAAATGAGGCAGAGTGTGGGAGCAAGAAAAAATAACAACAATATGCAAGCATAAGCTATAAGGTTCGATCTGATCCTAATTCGTGGGTCTGATAGATATGGCCATTCACTAAGGAATTTCCCTTCCTTCAGTGCGTTACGCAAAATGCTCCTACCTCAAATACAATGTACCCTATTGTTGTACCCTATTCTTCGAGTATCGGGAATAAAAATAATAAACAAAATTAAACAAATGTTCGCAGTAGTCTCCTTGCGTATAGCGGTTAGAAAGAGCGAATAGGGTTATTTGCGAGTATAGATAAATAGGCTAGATAAATATACATAAATACATATGTATATGTATACGTACGTATGCATGAATGTATGTACAAAACGTACATATATACATATATACATACATACCAACCATTCATTCATTCATAGCACCTGCCTTCCTTTAAATGGGACGGCTCGTTTTATTTTATTTAATTTATGTTGTACTATTTACTATGTACTATGAGAAAAAAACTTACCATTACATATGTACATATGAATGCATATGTACTTAGATTCATGCACACATATCTACATGTATAAGTACATTCATTCTAATATTAATTGAGGGGTGAATTTTTTAGCGCATTGAGGGTGACAACTGCTCGTGGATACATTTTTTTTTTATTGATTTCAATATTGATTTTGCTGCACATTATGCCCACGCCACACCACCAAAAGTTTATCACCCGAACAGGGTTTCAGCTGGGCCAGGAATTTTACCATTTAAACCCTTTTACTGTGATATTTCGACCGGAAAACTAGACGTGGTATGCCTTTCAAAGAAAGCGACATTAAGTACAGTCTGGCATTTGAACAAACAAACAGGCATAAAAGTAAAAAGTGCCTTTCATTTTAGATTAACTTTGATTTACATTCAGAATTTCTTCTACATATGTGGTATTGTAAATATATCAAAGTACACGACAAACATACGCGAACACATTGGATTATTGATATTTAAAAACCATACATATAAATAATTAATTGGATAATTGGATGTAAATACACCATCACCCATACAGCTCACAAACCAAGTACGATATCAACTTAATTTACTTTGATGATGATTTTATAATGACCAAATGTAAGAGTTAGTTCTAATGCGTTATTATCTACGATTTTTGTTTAACAATACAAACAAATCCGTAAAAACACGGGTAAGATCGAACCTTATGCTTATGCTTGCATATTGTTGTTATTTTTTCCTGCTCCCACACATAGTACATATGTATGTATGTACAGACATTCCTATGTAATCTTTTGATTTTTTCGAATTTAACAATTTACATTTAAATACCCGGTACTCGAAGAGTAATTAGGGTATATTTTATTTGTGGTCGAAAAATCTTACATACAGAAGGAAACGTTTTCGACCCCATAAAGTACTTATGTATGTATATATATGTATTCTTGATCAGCATCAATAGCCGAGTCTATGTCTGTCTGTCTGTCCGTCTTGTTCTCAGAGACTGTGTATAAGAGCTAGAGCAAAAACAACAAAATTTTGAAAATATATTCTTTTTATTTTATAAACTATGAATTTAATACCGCTGGATTGGCACCTTTGCCCACTTTTGATTTTTTTGGGGTTTTTTTACGAACTTTTGACTCTATAAACTCAGGAATATCGAAAAACAATTACATATATCCTGGGTCTTTCACTTGTTGTGTATTGGTGCATTAATTCGGCTTCGCTTAAGGCTTTTATCATGAAAATCTATGTATGGTTGAGCAATAATAAAATAATTAAGCGCTTGACCGCTTTCTAGTGAATAAATACTTTCATTGCCAGAAATACCGGCTTTTGGCATTGTGCATTCTGTTGTTATATCTGACAAAAGCTGATTGCGCTAGTCGAACGCTTTTTTAAGCAGCTAGCTTTTGTCAGACATACTATTTCTAGTCCGAAAATTTTGTATTTTCCAGCCCTGTTTTAATACCGAAAATACTAAACAAATATTTCCGTCGATATTATTGGTATTGATATTTTTGGTAAAAAGTATTTATTTTAGATACCTGTACAAATTCAAGTTTAAATTGAATTTGCGGGCTAATATCTAATAATAATTTCAAATATCTTAAATCGACAACTTAAATGCTAGTCCCTGGGGTCCATCATGCTCAACAAGATGCGTGCACACACCATTGTATTTCGTTTGTAGAACGGGCGTTATTTTGTAACCGTGGCTTGTTGCTTTGGCATAGGACTAAACCTATTTAGACTAAACACTAACGGGAACTGATCTTCTAGGAAGATGTATTGGATTGGAAAGCTTAATCAGACCAATGATAGCTTTTTTTCTTGGTTATATTATGAACGCGTATTTATGCATGTATGTATATATGTATGTATGTACATATGTATGTGTGTATGTATTGACGTGTAGGATGCACAGAGATGCCAAAACTTTCTATTAGTCTTTGTTTGTCGGCCATCGGTAAGAATTTTCAGTAAACGGAATATTTGGTTTGAATGTGAAAGCTTTTGTAGACCATTTTAAAGATTGACTAACTGTTTCCCAAACAAATATATAAAACTACAGTATCTTATGGCAATAAATAAACCTATCGCAGAAGGAGCTTAATATCTCCTAACTGAAAAAATAGGTTTCACTTGGACGGATGTTTTTCTTTATTTGTTACAAAAATATTTACATGTACAGTTAAATACATACTTATATGTATCTACATATTTAATGTGCAAGTAGTGGGTGCTGTGTCTAATAAAATTTAAAAATATATTCATATGTACATACATACAGAATCGTGTCACGTGTCGATAATCCCTCGGTGATATTCGGTAGAAGTTTTCGTTGAAGTTCTCTATAATTAAATCTACAATACTGTATAATCCCAAAAATAGATTCACACACAAGACACCTAAAAATGATCATAAATAAATTTAGATGCACGGGTATATTCAAGATGCAAAAATGGAATAAACAAAGAGTGTATACATATGTGATATGTATTTCTGTAAAAGCAATTTTTTAAGTGAATTCTTAAAAAATGAAAGATTTCTTTGAATACTACGAGTAATTACATACACACATATGTACATAGCACAGTTATGGCAAAGTTGAAAAGAAACGATTTCTTCAGATCCTTTTTAGATCTGTGGAAAACATTTTTAGAAATTGGGATACCGCGGACATTCTCGGCGGACTACCACGGACAAGTTTTTGGAGCAATAAAGACTGTTGTACCCATCAGGGCTGCTATTTTTTTCGCCACCTCTGTGTGTTATACACACAAGCATGTGTGCAATGCATGTTAATATATATGTACATATGTATGCATGTACATATGTAGGTAGTGTAGAACTTTAGGAAATACATTCAAAATGTTTACATAAGGATTATATACATTATACATATATGTATGTCCATATATAAATAGCTGTTCCATAAAAAATGTAAACAATACAAAAATATTTCAGACTACAACATTAAACTATGAATTGGAGGTTTAATGTATAGCTCATGTGATAAAAGACGATACTCAATACAGGAGGAAAAAAGTCCAGAAGGATCCAAAATGCATTTACAGGAAAATCCCAGGTAACAGTTTATTTTGTTATCAATATATCGATAAGAAAAATTGCACACACATTAAATTTCGAACCGAAATTTAGCAGACCCTGTAACTATTTGTGGGAGCGTTTTCTGTTTTCTCCTGTCATCGAGCACCACGCATGCGCAATCCTCAATGACAGCTGGTGCTAGTCATACTTAGTAACAGTAACCACCAGACACTGCCATCTCTTCTCTCTCATTTCCTGAGCGCTGCTTGGGGCTGCTTTGTCACGAATTCGATTAGACGACGAAACTTTACTGGGAAGGAAAAGCAGTCAAAGCGTACCAATCGATATGTGTATTTTATTACCGTGAAAATTTTGAAATTGCAAACGGACGACTCTTTCCTTCTAAAATTTAAAAAACAAAGTCTCCTGATTTTTGCTTTTGTGCGTGCTTTAAATAAGACTTGGAAAAATCCTTCGCACGACGAGAATTTCAACGAGAGTAGATAATTTTCCAGGTCTTGTTATACATAACCATTACGTGGACGCATGGTATGTACTATGTATTGATGTACGTTAACATATGCATGAGATCATCAGCATGTAGAATGTATTTCTGTATATTGGAAGAAAAAATTATTTTCAAGTCCTGCACACAATAATTTTCCCCAAATTTCCCTTAAATGTGCTCCGTTCCTATGACTGCAAACTCCAAGTGGGGAAGAATAATTGTTCTCCCACGCCTCGACTGCACTGCACATACATATATGTATGTATACATATATGTACATGTGAACATTATGTACACTATGTACATACGTACATATGTGCATAGCTAGATCCGGTGATTTTCTAGACTATACCTGAACTATTTTGTAGACAAACACAGCTGTGTTGGTGGGATTTAAAAAAACTGAACATATTCTCTGTTGGAATAATGTTCTACACACAGAATATCCTTGTTTCAGAAACGACGAAAATGTTGCTGCGTCAGGAGATCATGATTCACACCCGAACCAGGAGCAGTACATAACTCCCAACCACAAAGTGATCCCCAGCCCTAAGAATAACCACATTTTGCGGTTGCATCCACCACAGTCGAAACCACCACAACCGCCTCTCGCAAGGAATATTTTGCAAGGCCAAATCTTACAGCGAGTCCAGCCGAGGACTGGCACGGCCACGGGCACTGGTGTTGTTGTGGACACAGAAGCGTCTGAGGAGCACCGTTATCCCAATGTGTTGCAGCGATCGGCGACTTTGCCAGCGAAACATCGCTTAGGAGGAGTAGGCCGAGGCAGAGTGACTTTCAAAGTGCCATCTTCAAGAAATCCAGGCCCTGCTCCAGCGCAGGTAGAAGAAGCAACAGCTGAAAAGGTCAGACACGCACTAGGAGTAGCTCCAAAAGAGTCTTGCAAGATGACTTCCGAGGATCTTTTGCAGCCGGGCCATGTTGTCAAGGAGCGTTGGAAGGTTTGTCGCCAATATCCGCATTTTTTTCTTCTCTGAGTTTACCTTTTACATACAAATATAAATCGCTTTGTAACCCTTAAAGGTGGTTCGAAAAATCGGTGGAGGTGGTTTTGGTGAAATCTATGAAGGGCAAGACCTTATTACACGTGAGCAAGTGGCACTCAAAGTGGAATCCGCAAGGCAGCCTAAGCAGGTGCTCAAAATGGAAGTTGCTGTTTTGAAAAAGCTACAGGGAAAGGAGCATGTGTGCCGCTTCATTGGATGCGGCCGAAACGATAGATTTAATTACGTGGTGATGCAACTTCAAGGAAAGAATTTAGCAGAGCTTCGGAGGGCTCAGCCGCGTGGTGCATTTTCGCTTAGTACAACACTTAGGTTAGGCTTACAAATTTTAAAGGCCATCGAATCGATACATTCTGTGGGATTCCTTCATCGTGATATAAAACCGGTAATCTAATTGCTTTTACCGGAAGAATTGAATTTGGATGTAATAACGATCGTATCGTTTTTCTTCCAGAGTAACTTCTCCGTCGGGCGTTTGCCCTATAACTGCCGGCGGGTCTATATGCTGGACTTTGGATTGGCTCGGCAATACACCACCGGTACCGGCGAGGTGAGATGTCCCCGAGCTGCAGCTGGCTTCCGCGGCACAGTTCGCTATGCATCCATCAATGCTCATCGTAATCGAGAAATGGGACGTCACGATGATCTATGGTCACTGTTTTATATGCTCGTGGAGTTTGTTAACGGCCAGTTGCCGTGGCGAAAGATAAAAGACAAGGAACAAGTAGGCCTAACAAAGGAGAAATACGACCACAGAATTTTGTTGAAGCATTTGCCGTCAGATCTAAAGCAATTCCTGGAGCACATACAGTCTCTCACCTATGCGGACCGACCGGACTACGCGGTAAGCTAACTCTAGGACTTCAGTGGAATAGTGTATGGAAAACTCTAATAAATGTGTTTTTCTTACAGATGCTTATTGGACTATTTGAGCGGTGCATGAAGAGACGCGGCGTCAAAGAGGCAGATCCATATGATTGGGAAAAATTGGACACTTCATCAATTGGCAACATCAATTCAAGTGGCAACGCATTAGTGCCTGCCAAGAATGATTATATCCACGGAAATATAACACAAATGACAGTGGCTGCTTCTAACGCGAGCGGCACTGAATACGTAAGTCCATAGCTCAGCAACTTGCATTAAGTCTTTGTTTCATTCGGCGTACCGAGTCTTTGCAATATAAATTTGTTACGTTTGGTTACAAATAATTCAATTACAAATGACTTATCCAAGTAAGAAAGAGCTGATCTGACTCCACACCAACCTTACAATTTGTTAATACTATTAATTTTTCCCTGTATGTTTTGTCGCATTTTCAAAAGGTTCGAAAGCGGACTGATGTTGATACCGCCCAGATAGCATCGACAGAGCCTTTGCATATGAAAGATAAGGTATTTCGACGTCGCCGTTTAATTTGAAGAAGCGCAAAATAAATATTTGAAATTGGTTAACAGGTTGACAGAAACTGCAATGCGACGTCGTCAGTTCCCCAAACACAGGCCAAAGTCGAGGCATCCGTACAGCATGGCAACTCAGCCAATAATCAAAATACCCTACCCAAAGTTATGTTTCAGCAACAACATGCACCACAGTCTGCCAACACTGCGATGGCTACGCCGAATCTCCCCAGTTCACTAAACAAGTCATCAATGGTTGGTGTTGGAAACCATGAAGCACCGATAAAGACACCACATTCAGTAATTCATGCGAAGAACTGCCAACCCCACAGCGGAACCGGATCATTTTCTGCATCAAACCAAAACAACTCTGCTCCTGTTTATGTAAGAAGGCAATAGCAATAAACACAGTTACAGTTACGGTTAAATTCAGTTGCATTCAACTAATTTCTTACAGTATCCACATCTGGAAGATAAGTTTGCAGCCACTCAGCTATTGCAAACGAAGAAGACCGCCGAGGGAGAGCGCAAAGGAGATGTTGATATCGAAGTCGCACTCATTGCAGTGGAATGCTCCCAAGACCAGAAGATCGTCGAGACAAATGTTGCTGAGAGTGTCCATAGAACACCACAGTGCGGCGGAGAGCAGCAGCCGCCACCGCAACCGAAAAATATAAACCCAAGTGGCAATACTGATAAACAACAGCAGAAACTGGAAGCATTGCCGTCAGAAAAGTGCAGCGATAGCAAGCGATCCGTGGATGATCTAAAGTCAACCTATGGCCGCCTCCGTGTTCTTACAGCCCCACCTATGAGCGTGCATGATCTAACCCTTGGTGGGGCCCAAAGCCAGCAAAGAGATGAACAGTCAGTAACACATGATCAGGATGCTCTAGTTTTCTGTGGAGGAGCAGGCGGAGGAGGAAGCACTGCCTCTAAGGTTGCCATGTGCCAGCGCGGTCAGTCTTTTGGCATGGTTGGCGTACCGCCGGTCAATCGCCGTTCAGCAACATCCACCAATTTACGTCCGTCTTCCTCGGGTGCTGCTTCCAATTCGATTCAACGTATAAATAGCGCATCAGCAGGTGCAGCTGGTTCAGGAACTGGCAGCAACACAGCCAGAAGCAGTGTTACCGGCGACCATTCAGTCACTCAGTTCGCATTGATAGACGATGAAAATGTGTCCGCATTACAACAGGTAACCAGGGGCGGAGCTCTCACTCTTGCTTCCCAATGGAAAAGTCAGTTTGATGACTCTGAGGACACGACCGATAACGAATGGAACAGAGAGCCACAGGTAAATTGGAATGTAAACTAATCATGAAAAGATGGGAGTTCTAGTTTCCAATGTCCAATGTCAGGGATCGCGTTCGGACTAACGATAAATGCTTAAAATGTCTTCCTGTAACATTAACAGTTTCAGTGCTAAACACGGTTGCGAATCCCCTATTATTAATTTACATTTAATAAGATACTAAAATTTGTGTGCATCCAATATCTTATATTCAACTAGGAAGATTGTTGTTTTTTATTAATTGTTTTTTTACCAAATTTAGTGGTACCTAGTCTAAGATAAACCAGTGTAAAATATACAAACTACATTTCACCTCACAGTCGCAACCCAATTTGGATCAATTGATTAAGGGGGATGTTTCATTGCCACTGTTAAATGAAGCTGCAATCTTTTCCCTAACTGCCGTCGCTGATTCAACCAAGACACCAAAGACCCAAACGTCCCAAGATGCAAAATCCAGGCTGAAAAGGTGAGTCTTGAACCGATGGCTAATCAATACATACATATTTATAACCTTGGTACATTTAAAAGTGACCCAATGCTTTTAAATGTAAGTACATCATAAGTATGTACATATGTATGTATCTTCAAACCCACATATTAAATCTGTTCTCGAGCAGAACGGCAATCCGAGTGATTATACGAATACTCCCTTCCCAGTCCGTCTGTGCATTCCTCTCTTCTTTGTCGTTTAACAGAAAGAATCAGTGGTAAATGCATCCCCAGATGTGAGTTTCAGTGTTAGGGTATCAACAGGATCGAAATGTACTACATTTTGATTCTCACCAGAAAAGCTTTATTGTTTTCATATGGACATAGATTCAATTACTATTGGTAAAATTAATAATATTGAAAACTCACCGACCATACCATCCACAATATAATACTAGATATCCTGTTCAGAGCATGTAGGAAAATGAAGGTAACATATTTGGCGCCCCAAAGAGGCACGAATATCCAGATCAAAGACGCTGTTTACATACAGTACATACACACAAATGTATGTACAGCTGTGTTCAAATATTTTTTTTTTGACACATTTCTAATATTTCAAATTAAACGAGACGCTTCTTACGCGTCACAACTTTTATACCCGGTACTCATTACTCAAAATTGGGTGGCTCTAGCTCTTATAGTCTCTGAGAACTAGCTGACAAACAAGACAAAAACACTACTCCTTTTATGACCAGCAGTTTTCATGAGTGTTCGACAAAAATCATGAAAATCAAGAATATGGACTGCAAATGTATCGAGTATTTTTCCTGATTTGTATGGCTGCCATTTCAGTCTATTCAAAAAGGCATCACTTTTTATACCCGGTACTCGAAGAGTAAATAGGGTATATTGTATTTGTGCACAAAGTGGATGTATGTAACGCAGAAAAGGAATCGTTTCCGACCCCACAAAGTATACATATTCTTGATCAGCATCAATAGCCGAGTCGATATAGCCATGTCTGTCTGTCCGTCCGTCTTTCCGTCCGTCCGTCTGCCCGTCCGTCCGTCTGTCCGTCCGTCCGTCCGTCCGTCCGTCTTGTTGAACGCCTGGATCTCAGAGGCTATAAGAGCTAGAGCTGGGTTGTAGATGTAGATGACAGATAAAGAAAAAATGTTTAATTTGAAAAAACCGCTATATTACAGATGTAGTACTGAGTACCGGGTATATATAGAAGCGTCTCACACGTCCCTTCTCGTTTTTTCATAAAATCGAAAATAAAGACAAAACTCAAATTATAATCTATGTTTCATGTTCTACTTGTTTCTTGAATTTCAATATATAGAATTTAATCATTATTAGATTCGATTTAGATTAACGGACTTGCAGTAATAATAATATATTTGGTATTCCCCCATAAGATTTCGCTGAGACTTCGGTCCAGGGACTGAGCCGGACATTGTAAAACGTCGATTTGTTCCAATGAAATCAAATTCCTATCAAGATTTCCTGACTGTTTGAGATGATTATCCTTTTTAAGGATCGTTTTTAGAAGCATGAATGTTATATTTTCTCGCTATTTTAAAAGGGCTAGGGCTCATAAGGCCCAACCCAGTTTCCCCATGATCCCTTTTTTATGATTTTGGGTGGAAATCGGATTTCTGTGAATGCAAAACATATTCTTTGCCTAAAGCCTATCTAACCATATAATATAACTTTTTCTTCACTCTGATAAAGACCCGACAACATGGGTTTTGGGTAACTTAAGTCGTGCACCCATGTGTCGTATTATGAAGCGTGTAGCTTTTTTTTACTTCTTGCACCTTTCTAATACGTAATCAGTTGTCTCTTAACTATCATATAACTGACAGAGCGATATTCCGTTTTTTTTTCATTATTCATTTTCATTTCGAAAGCTTGGACCTGCCTTCAACTACCTTCGACCATCCTCCAAAAGATATCTATGTTTTTCGCATACAAAATCAATTTTCCGGGGGTTTCTTCTACCTAAAAATAAGAGCACATTAAGCTTAGTTTTTAATATCACAATAACTTCTGATTTCAATATTTTGTCAAAATCTTAGATCTCCTCTACTGGACCGAGCCAAGGTTTCATTTAGACTATAAAAACAAAAATACCGCTATTTCTAAAAATTTCTTTCATAAAAATATTGAATATACAAATTAAGCTTGTCTTGATTTTCAATTATTAAAATATTTACATCCAGCACTACTATTTTTACGAGCAGACGTTTTCATGGGTATTTGTCAAAAATCATGAAAAGCAAAAAGATCACTTGTTTAATTTGAATGATGGGAGGTGTCTCAAAAAAGCGTTGAAAGTTATGAGGAACACAGTGTATTTATTTATTTCCATTAACAATTATCTGCTAATTATGGACTAGGAATAAATGAAATACAAGTACAATACAAGAAGACGAAGGAAATATTTATAAATTTTCTTAACTATGGTGATGGTAAATGTTAAATACAATCTTTTCAATATAAATATGTATATTATTTTAGTGCAATTTTCAATGTATTTTATTGGTTTAGAGTACTACTTCTGCGTTTGTTGATTTCCCCTATCATAGGTATACACTCAACATAGCCGGGATCGAGAACTACGACACGTTGAAAATCTCTTTACCGCACTGCTGGTCCGACCCTGCAATGGGTAATTTATTACGTAAAGACTTAGAGCCACCGGCTGTGCAGCAAGCCGCTTTTGACAATACAGTAAGCATCTGAAAACTTTAAATTTTGCGGCTTTGTGGTCGCTCCTAGAATAAGTGAATTGTTACATTCATATATCAGCATACTAATTAAAAGAGTCCTGCATGCACCAAACCAAGATATGTTCACTCATAACCACGTTCCGGAAGACATTTTAAGCATCTTCTTTTAAGCATCGTTCACACCCGTGTTTGTATTCAATGGAACTACCACAAGCACAGGATACGTTATGATTAAAAGGTTGAGTTAGAAGTGGTGAGAAACACTGCCATGAACGCCCGCACCATCCGCTTCGAGAACTAAAGCACCTCTTGGGCATTCTTTTCATTTTATAGGTATATCGAATGGATATAGCCAGGAATGTTTGCGTGCGAGAAACATACTCGGAAATCACCCCGCTAGGACAGCCAAAACCTTCTGTTTCTATCGTTTCGCAGGCGATATTGCCGTCATCATCTAAAGATGATAATGTTGCGTTTCAGTCAAATAGGTCAAATGAGAGCCAAACCAAGTCGAAACATCGAAACAGCCTTCCGAATGTGTCAATAGCCGACATTTTTGACGAGCAAAAGGCACAAATACCAAATTATAGCTCTTTGGTGGGGAATAACGCGGCTCAACCTTGGTGTGTTCAAACCACATCTTTCCAGAGGAGTAATTTGCCTGTGAGTGAAGAGATCCAGGATAACAATGGTTGTGTTAGTGGGCGTCTGGAAATTCGAGTCATTCCCAAAGGTATGCAAATAATATACATTTCTGTCTATCCAGGAATGCAATCCAATTGCACCAACTCGATTTTATTACCTTTTACTATATGCAATCAGGTCAAACATTATTCTACTATTCGTTTTATTTGTGCTTTCAGAATCCTCACATTTGGATGAATCTGTTTACTATGATGCGCTGGCAGCTGCTGTTAAGATGACTCCAAGTACAACTAGCCAAGGCATTGCTTTTAAAATTCAAGGCCAAGATTCTAGTGATAAGGTGCTAATGAACTGTGATGAAATAAAAGCAACAGCAGCAGCAGCAATGAAAGCTTCCTCTCCGAATGCAATCAATAATTGTAAAGTACCAGCCGACAAAGCATGCAACGAGCCATGTCGCCTCAGTTCCCATGTGGTTGATTCCATCAAGCTAAAGCTGAATGGAAATAGCGAAATATGTAACATAAAGGAACAGGCTTTGGAAAAAACAGGTGATTTAGATACTCAAATAACATGGGTGAGTTGCGGCCAGGGTGGAGCCGAAGGTGGCTGTGAGCCAACGCTTTTGGCACCCAGCAAAATACCAGTGCGCCAATCAAAATGTGCTTCATGGGCTGGTGCTGATACTGCCACAAAAGCTTTAACGCCAATCGGGTCCTTGGCAGGACAGCATCTTATCCAAAAAAATCTACCATTTGACATGTCCAATTGTATAATGGACGCTATTCCTGTTCGCCACGACGTATACTCTGGTGTTTTACAGAATCCTCCTAATAATACGGACCTAACACCAGGTTTGTTTCCTTTACGATGTGGACTTTGCCTACCAACTAATTGATCAATGACAACACGAGCATCTGCTGCACGATGCATGTATTTCCTGAGTTATAACATGTTTCAAGATTCGAATGGTTTTATTGAAGTTGTATTGAGATATACTCAACTATTCAGCTACGATTTCTAAGTATGTGTGGTATTTTAGTTTCACCGTTTATCGTTTTATGCGTTTGTATGTATATTTCCCTCATACATATGTTATTAGATTAGAGCGTCTTCCTATTTGAAGTAATAATGCTTTTTATGTTGAATTGCAAGAGCTGGCCATGATAACTACCTTCTATTCGAGCGCTAGTTCTGTTTAATTTTCTTCTCTGATTTTCTTTCGCTTCCAACCATCTCATTTAGGACTACGACGTCGGCGAGAATCCGCTGAAGGAAAGTACATAACCGACCCAACGCAATTACAGCTAAGATTTCAACGTCCTAGGTCCCGCACTTCCAGTCGGTAGGTTTTTATCAATTTTAAATACATTTATTCGTCTCTATAATGGTCACATACATTCATACTCATGTGTAACGTTTAAGAACTCGTGGCATACCCACAGCAATGTTAGGAAATTTTGATGATCAATCAACTGATCTCAGTGAAGAAAAGGCTGGAACTATTGGAGCCCACTTTAATACAAAGCAATATGAAGAATCGAACTTAAACAATATCACATGGAGTGAAAGTTCAACAGATCAACAAACTAAGAGTAACATCTCGCCGCCACCGGGGGAGCCAAAAATAGAAAATAGTGCGCGCCTTCGTCGATATAGACATAACATAGAATAATTTACATTCTCAGTAGTAATACTACAATACTAATTTGGCCCCAGTACTTATTTCGAGATGAATAACAGAGTCCATTGAGTACAGTTCACAAATATTGGCTCCTACATACATACATACATACATACATACATACATATGTAAGGTATCGAAATTGTGTTCGACCTGCATAGACAAACTTTATTTATTTTCTTTATTTTGCTATCTATGAAAAATTAAATCAAATATTTTTTTTCTCATGTCTACTTCTGGGGCATGGAAAAGTAACCAAACCAAAATATAATGAAAATATTCAAATAAGCTTTAAAAGAAACGCCTAACTCCGTTATTTATACATAGAATCAAAATATATTGATCGACTAAGAACTATCGCACCCGTACACCTGTAACTCACAATTAATGATGCCCCTCAACGATAAACGACATCTAATTATCTCCGTATTTAATACTTACAAATTTAATTGTGAATGTTTTAAGTCAAGGATGTATTATAATACATTTTCAAATAAAATCATTGGTAGGTGAATTTCAGTTATTAATAAATTAGTTTATACTTTGTTATTTAGTTTTATGTATGTTTTGCAAGAGCGTTTAACTCTACATATGGAGTTGTCGTTGCGATTTTAATTTCAGTGATGTCAGTTTGTAAAAACGTGTGACCTTGATGTTCACCAATGACCCGATAAGGTTCGCTTACCTTTCACATTACAAAAAGTGGAATTTTCTATGGAATTAGGTTTTTATTGTTTTTTTCCAAGGTGTTTTTTCTATCACAATTTAATTTATTCAATATACGTACAATCAGTTTTTCTTTATTGTAAATATTAAGGCTATTATCTTAAATGTAATAGTTGAAAGTAACCTCAATAAAATGTAATTATTAATTAAAAATTAAATATAATTGTTTCTATTGTCCATAAGAAAACAATGTATATCTTTCATTTCAATTTTTGCTCGACCCTCTAACAGGTTGACAAAAAAGGCAAATAGTTGTATCACTAGCATTGCTACTAGCTAGCATCTGGACGTGAATTATCTCTTGAAGGGCTCTCTGAAATAATATAACGAAACATAAACAAATTTAAGTTAATTAGGCTATAAAATCTTCAGCAAACCACGTGGACGAAAACGTGACAGACCTCACCAATATACATTTTTTTAGCAAATAATATATTTTTAAAGTATTCCTACTAGGCATAAATAATATTTATAAAATTATGCTAAAATTTCTTGCCTTCAATTTGCCAATTTCAGTACGAAGTGTTATGATTTTCGTTTCCCCATGACCTATGATTCCTTTCAATGTATCGACTTCATGCTGAAGTGAAGTGACGAGTTCATCATAGCTCTTTGATATATTCTTTTCGATACCAATCCTTGAACGCAGGCACAAGGATTTTTTCCTTATCTGTAAAATAGGCTTGCGTTGTCAGTGTAAACATTTTTAAATACATTCGCACTGACCTGGTCCCTCAAAGTCGCATCTATATGAATGCTTGAAGTTTTCCTTATTAAGTCACAAGAACTTGTGAAGTTGGTTGTCCCTAAAATGCCACTGTGCGCCAAAAATTGTTTGGCTCCATCAATTCTAGAATTCAGTGATTGCATCTCTTTACTCTGTTCGCTCGACTCAAACGCAGACTTTCCACTTGAATATAAACCTAGAGCATCAGTTAGATATCTGTCTGTGCTTTCCGTAGTATCCATAGCATTTCCATAGTATTTCCGATTGTTAGTGGCACAGATAAAGCTCATGTCGTGATACGAAAGCGACTTATATTCCGTGCGTTGGCCTTGTTTCAGCTCCTTCGGAAGTCGATTGTTTGGCTGAAGTGTTACTGGCTTGTATTGAAATGTCAGAGGCTCGTTTCGACCCGAAAGATTCCACTTATACATTTTCGAGCTATTTCCACGTACTTAGAATCTGTGACAGCCAAGTCACAGTTACATCTGGTGTTTAAATTTTCAAATAGGGGATCTATGTTGTGCAGAACATAATGCAAAATTCTTGGCTATCTGATCCGAAGGCATTTGTACATATGTATGGTTAAACACCTTATAAAATAGCTCAATAAACTATCATCTTCATATTCATCTTTTCACAATTTATTTATTAGCACATACATATGCATTGCCGCGGAATATTCAGAATATTCAGTTCTTTTGGCCGCAGCTAATTCAGCGAGTAATTTTGAGTATGCATGCTTATTCCATCCCATTATTATCAGAAACGGATCACCCTTCCATTCAGCCTGTATATAAAAATTTTGATTCAGATCAAAACATTTGTTTTAGAAACATTTGTACGTCACAACTTGAATACTTTTATATACGTACATATGTGTATATAAAAGATGTACTAGATGTCATTTCGCCATTCTGTCTATAATAATGATCAAATCTCGCCTTAATTCGGGAATATGATAGATATGCCTGCTCCCCTACCGGACACCATTTGTCGGCTTCGAACCAAACAAACTTGACAGATTTGGGTCTATGAACAAGCTTTATAATTATTTTTTTCTATGGCACATATTTTTTTACGGGTTTTGCATATGTAGCATATTTTCGACCTTTGTGGGGGATTTACAATATACTATTTACTCTTTTTGTGTAGGGTATAACAACGCAAATATTAAACTAAAATGTTTGAGGTCAGTATAAGATAATGTACATTTAAATCCCAAAAACCGAAATCTGTCAAAAACGAGAAGGGACGTGTGTGTGAGACGCTTCTTACGCGTCATAACTTTTATACCCGGCACTCAGTACTACATCTGCACCTTAGCGGTTATTTGTAAAATTTTAGATTTTTTCTTCATCTGTCATCGACATCAACAACACTACTCACGCCAACATGCTCCTTCAGCTCGCTCCCCTTCCCTAGACCCACACACTGCAGACTCGCGGCAGACGTAGTGGCCGCACACAGCAGAAGCAGAGTGTGAATGAGAGAATGTGCAAGAAACAAATATAAGCAGCGGGACGGGGTGGGTTTAGCCACTGAAAATTAATTTCTTCATTGTGGCTATAATAATGATCCAATCGGATCCCAATTTGGTGATCTGATAGATACGGGCATTCCCTACGAAATGTTTTCTTTTATCCTCAAAACTGTAGGTTTGGGAGGTTTTCGCCCTTTTTTCGCGGGGCTAATTTTTTAAATACACTGGCTTCAGTGTGAGCATATAGCAGTCCGGAGCCAAAATTTGGTGGCTCTAGCTCTTATAGTCTCTGCGAACTAGCCGACAAACAAGACGGACGGACGGACAGACAGACATGGCTCTATCGACTCGTCTATTGATGCTGATCAAGAATATATATATTTTATGGTGTCGGAAACGTTTCCTTCTCTGCGTTACATACAACCGTTATTCTCACATATACAATATACCCTATTTACTCTTCGAGTACCGGGTAAAAAGATCTAGGTTTGTTTTGAAGCGTAAAAACGCTGTTTCATAGTGCGATTTAACTTGAATAGATTGAGCCGATTTCGTGGGCGTTTGTCAGAAATCTAACAAAAGGAAAAACAAATTAGCAACACCTATCTAAAAAGGAATACATTCACACGCATATCTTATAACTGGAAGGGACGTGTGAGACGCTTCTTACGCGTAACAACTTTTATACCCGGTACTCAGTACTACATCTGTCCCCTTGCCGTTTTTTTTTAATTTTACATATTTTCTTCTTGTCATTTACATCTACATCACTTCTCACGCCAACACGCTGTTTTAGCTCGCCCCCTACCCTAGAGCCGCACACTACACAAAGCAGAGTGTGGATGAGAGAAGTTTTTAGTTTTCTTTTATGTTCAAAATGGTGGCTGTGAGAGATTTTAGCCCTTTGTGGCGGCGGAAAGGGGCGGGGCTTATTTTTGCAAATACACATGTAACAGTGGGATACAGCATACAGAAGTCTGGATGCAAAACTTGGTTGTCCAATCTATTATGGTCACTGAGTACTGGGCGCACATAAGGACGGACAGACAGACATGGCTCAATCGACTCGGCTATTAATGGTGATCAAGAATGTTTATACTTTATGGGGTCGGAAACGTTTGGTTCTGTGCGTTACATACAACCGTTATTCCCCACAAATACAACACAGGTGAAACACTAGGCACCCTCCGATGAACCATACGATTTTTCTCAAGATAAGTTAAATTAATTTTCCGGAAGACTTTTGGAGAAACCCATGGCCAGATTCATTTCTAGAGAATGTGATTTGACTAGTGAGTCCATCTAAGACATATTTTTGAGCTAAATGTAGCTAAATGCATACGCCAAGTGTTTCACCTGTGTTTTTTTTTAACTGGAGTTTGATACAAAATTAACTTTTTCTGTTTTCGTTGACCGTACGCAGTACCATCATCATGGTGTACGAATAATATGTGTGCTTACGCACGTACATATGTACTATGTTGCGTTGCAGACAAGCACTCAAGCAGACGGAACTTCTCAATTCTTCGATACGCTTATTGGTCACATTAAAGGTTGAAATAAATATTGTTGAAATTATTATTTATTACCAAAACCGAATTCTTGTATACTTATATACTAAACAATGGAGCTGGGAAAAAATCGATTCTTTGGTTTTGGTGTAAACATCGATTAATTATTTTTTGTCTCAAAAGTTTTCCAATGATTATTTAAAGATAAAATATGTTGTCTAGCCCTCCAAAATATTGCCAAGTATACCCCTGCTCAGTTTTAAAGTATACCATAAATACACCGAGGAAAATCATACTCCCCGATTTTGACAATTTCTTTAATACTACTAGCAAGCTAAGAAAGTATATACAAATATTTTTAGTCTTAAAGCCTAGTACACAGATCGAGAAAAAGGGGCCGCTAAAAAAATCAGGGATGATATTCGTATGGAACCGATAAGAAATTTTTGCGCGCATCAGCTACTTTCTAGCGGCTGTACGGCACTTACCAAATATATTGTTAATTTGAGCCAAGCGAAACGTCACCGCAGAATGTACGTCGCGAAGTCCCAGGCCTCTGCCAACGTCGCAACTACAAGTATTAGTGCGTGTAGAACACTACAGGCAGGCAGTATTAAATTAGGCCGATTAAATCTAGACAGTCAGTCGATAATATTTTGTGGTATTGATGTATTTGTGTGGCATTCGTTGGTATGTTGCAGCTCGACACATATAGATCTGTTCTATAGTTCGAAAGGGTACCTAGCAAAGAGAGAGTAAAGTCTCAATAACATGGAGGCAACAATGCCGCTGAAGTTGAAAAATATATGACCACCATGCTTCTAAACGAGCTTAAGGCCATCAAGCGGCAAAAAAAAAGGAAAAAATTATTATAGATTAATGAGATTATATTGAATTTAATTGGATTTTTAATTTGTTTAACTTATATGAAGGCCAGTTGCTTCATGTTGCCAATACACAGACCGGGCTGGGCTGCTAAGAAACGGAAACCACAGGATCGTGCCGTGGAGGGGCGAAGGCTGCGATATGGACTCAAAACTATCCAATTTTGAATAGGTGCTTGGATGCGTTGTTTTACAACTTTGCCACGGGCGCACATATTCCTTGGCACGGCCCTGCTGTTTAATCAAAGATGTCGTCGCTTATTTCGTTGATTGTGCTCCTCCTCCGATCATGCAAGAGCCGCCAGTCTCACTAAAATAATCTCCTGCATGGATCCATTTTGCATTCATTGTTTTATTAACCTTTTATTCAATTTTCACACATTTTCAAAAAGGCAAACAAAACAACAAACGTGTAACCGCACGGAATGCGGGTTTCACCTCTGGTCACACTCTGGTGCTGGCAAAATATATGGCACATTTTGACTTGATATGGCAAGTTTTTTTTTGATCTGAGTACTAGGCTAAAGGATATTTAAGGAATAAATAAATTTAAAATGCTTACGGTATATTTTGAAAATGAAAAAGTATATTTCGGTATATTTTCGAGGCCCTCACGGTATATTTGATCGATAATTCCGAGGTCACACTGCACTGGTGATATCCCTTATCGGAAACCATAAATCATTAATTATTAATTAAGGGGTGTAGAGTATGTCTGAAGCAAACACAGTGTGCATTCCTATAATAAAACATCGTGTGTTTATTAACTTTGTGGTTATAAACTTAACGCTCCTTGTTCCCAGCGCTAAAATTTCCATATATTTCTTTTACAATAGATAATTCAAGTATCAATACAGTATAAACTTATGTACATACATATGTACTACGTACATACCCAGCAATGGCAGACAAATACTCTTCAGATCTAATGCGAATGGTTATTGCTCAAGTAACCCAAACTATTGGATATAGCAGCACACTGAGTGCACCACTAGAACTGCTGCAGGACATTTTGATAAAATTTATGCAAGAATTCGGACGCGACTTGCATGGACAGATGGAGCACGGTAAGCGAAGTTACGCTGTTCATTGGTTCTTCATTGTATTAGTTTATATATTGTTTTTATTGGTGTAGCAAATCGGCTTGAGCCAAACCTTCAGGATGCACGCCTGACCTTAAAAAGTCTTAGCATTAATGTTCTAGAACTTTTGGACTATATTGAAAATGTTGAGCCGGTTCAATTTAATCGCGATGTTGCTGTGTTTCCTATCAAAAGAGCTTCGAATATGAATTTTCTAAAGCCTGGAAGTGCAGAGACCCTGACCCGTCCAATCTATATATTTGAGTACTTGCCACCAATGCAGCCAAACGCTGAACCAAGTGAACCAACGTCTACCGCGATGAACACTATTCAGGACTCTGAGTCTGAAAAGACGCTAACACCGCAACAGGGAAGTGTCTCGAAAGTCGATTTGGAATCGCTCAGTATGGTAGATAATCGGACACAAATACCAATTGATACTCAGTCGCAGTCCACGCCACTAAATTTTCCTTCGAGTAAAAACTGTGACCCCGATAATGGACGGACAGTACGCGAAATGAGTAGTGTGGTAATGACAACAGGGGGCTTCATTTCTCCAAGTATCGAAGGAAAACTCCCAGATGCTTTTGTACCTGATATAATTGGTAAGCTTTATGGAACTTGTAAATTATCTGAATTTATATTGAATTTGTGTGTCGTTTTATATTGATAGAAAAATATAAAGGGCTGCATGCACCGCCAATACCCTCGCCAGTAATCGCTCCGCTGGAAACCGCCGCAACTAAGCCGGATACATCAGTCATTGAAGAAATTCGATACTTAAATTCAACCGCATCGAAATTAAATGAAAGAGACCATCAGCATATC